ATATCCCAGTGAAGGATGAACAGGGAAGATCAGAAAGGTGAAAGTAATCACTTTCTACTGCATTTTTATGGACATCGAGTAGGACAGAAATACTTGTAAGAGTAGACTAGGAAAACGCAAGGCACTTCAGCATCGAAGTTCCAAACTCTTCTACCTCCAGAAAGTTAACTACTGTGTAACTGATATTTGAGAAATACATGACAGTAAGTTATGTGTGATTTGACGCAGTCCCTGAAACTGTAGCTGCACAGCAATTTTAAGGGACTGGCGACATGCTGGCTGTGTCTGGGGGATGCCCTCCCAGCAGCTGGTGGGTGTTTCTCCCCAGGGGAGTCCAGGCCAGTCAGAAGGGTCTCCATAAGCCCCTTGATTGTTTCCCACCACGCTCTTACCCTTCCACACCTGCAGTCACAAAAAGGAAGGCTCTGCTGCACAGGCTTAAAAAGCAACTTTGGCTCAGATACAGCTCGGACCCCAGAAAGGGACATACTGCATTTGTGGTAGCAACAGAACTTCACAGCTGAAAGAGGGGTAGGATGGAAAAGTAGCAGTCGTTGCAAGCACTTTTATTCTCTACCTTCCTTGAGGAAGATGACAGGTGTTGTCTTTCTGTGGAACCAGGAAGCTATAAATGTTGGGTAACAAGTCAAACATAGTCACGGAATTTAGGGAAGGAAGCACAGTGTGTTTGGTATTGACTTACTGAGGGGACAGATTGGGCTGCTGCGCTACACCCTTTAGCATCTCTGCCTATAAATTCTGGTGCCCTCCTGTGTCAGGACCTCCAAGGAGATGGCTGCCACTGTGATCTTGTCTTGGATGCTAACGATAAGCCTTCAAATTCAGGTGGATGCAGGTAAAGAGTCTCACTTCTGATCACCTTCATGGCTATGTTTCACATCAGACTAATTTTGAGATTTAAAGGTAAAGGAAGATTTAGCAGCACAACTTAGCTCTTTTGAAAACCATGAGCAGGACAAACCTATGAGCTGAGCAAATCAATTGTTATACTTGTTAATTCAACAGCTTTTGTTGAAACTGCTTAATGAATTTAAATTTTTCTTCTCACCATTTTTTGTAAGGAGTCTAGTAAAGGAAATGCAAATGAATATACTGTAAAGCCAATGATACAATTTTCTGAACCTTTGTATTGGGGTAGTGAATTTAAAGACTAATATGTATTTTCTGGATGAAATGTATGTTTATTTTAAAGAGTGTGAGGTGCTCTTTTGAACCATGTGTTTTGTATTTGATTAAGTATATTGTTACGAATAACACATTGGTGTTTAATAACAGAGTGCCCTACATAAAACAAGTATGGCACATATCTCTGTTCCTATTATTATTGTAGTTATTAGTAGGATTTACTGTAAATGTATGTTATTCTAATTTACCATAGTCTAATTCCTGTTATGACTGTAATTTGATGTGGTTGTAGAGGCAGTGATCTGCCCAGCCACTTCCATCCCTTTGGGGACCGGTACAAATATCGGTGGGTCTGATGGGAGGGAGGATGTTTCAACCAAGGTAAAATGGTCCTCCTGTGTTCAAAAAACACTTTCCCCTTTTCCAGGTGAGGCTTCCCTGGCTGAGAGGAATGCCAGCATGCTGCTGTGAGAAACAAGACCTTTCTTTTTAAGCAGCTGATGTTGCATTCTTTGTGCAGGAGGGGGGAATGGAAAAAGATGTGTCACCAGGGGATCCTGTGCATGGAAATGTTCCATCCTCATTACTTCTTAATTCATGTAATGTTCTTTCTTTTTTTTTTTTTTTTTTGCTTGTGACAACAATATCTGTAATTTGGACACCAGCAGCTTCTGGAGCAAAAATGTTTCTAACAACAGGTAACTTAAAAGTTGTGTTAAAATGTACATTGTTTATAGAGTTGGCATTGCTAAATATTCTCTCCGAGCTGATGCTTGCACTCGAAAACTTTGCTAGTCCAGTCGTAGGTGATGTAGCCAACCTACTGGTGTAGTCAGGGGTTCTTCAGGCTGGGCTCCCAGATGCTGAAATGTACCCATGCGGGCTCTATATGGCAGCATATACATGCACTTAAAATGCAGCATATAGTTGTATATACGTCACTCTTCTTCAAGAAATAATGCAAGTCATTGCTGCAATGAAGAGATTAAACAAATCAGTGCTTGGGCTAAAACCTGAGGATAATAATGTTGTGTGAAAAATAGAGGCTGTATAAATGCAGCAGTTTCTGAGTATCTGAAAGCACAGAGGAAAATTATCCATGGTTTGAACAGGGAAATTTAACTGAAAACAGGTTTGTAGACTGTTTTCCAGTGACCTGTACTGAGACAGAGCAGAACCTCAGTGCCCCTGTGAAATGCCCTTATTCATTTTGATTGTAGGATTGGTGCTGTCACCTGATCCTGTGGCCTGTTTTTTCCACGCTCTACAGTGCTCACTCTCGTCTTGCCAGACCCATCAGCTCATCTTTTTCAAAACTGCAATTCTTACAAAGTAATAGTTTAAGGCAATATGGAAACCGGTTTTGTTTCAGTAACTGCAATTACTAAAATAAGTCAAACACTGAAACAACTCCATTTATGTTTTGAAACCAATTTTTGGACAACCAAACTCACCTATTTTAAATATTTTTAAACTTTTCTATGTTAATTATATTTTTTCCTACAGGTGAAATTTTAATCTAATATGAAATTTATGCACAAAAGTAGAAAAATCTACCTTTAAAGGTAGTTAAACCTGCTGAGTTTATTGGTGTTGGCTTGATGAGTTTACTCACAGCTATGTTTTTGGAGATACTTGTTGACTTTTACTAGTACGTGTGACCAGTGATGTGAATAATAAGTCTCCAGCCATGCAGATTTTAATCTTTAACCATCTATTAGTTAGTATTTAGTTGATAGCTGCTTGACTTTTCCAAACCTAACAGCTTCTATGTTAATATTAGCAACACTTGTGTAGACATTGTTAGTGCTCAGAGAACTGCATTTTGTGAAGGATGGTTTCCCAGTTAGAGCGGAGTTAACAGCACGTGCTTTCTGCCGATGGAGACCTACCTCCTCCTGAAATATACGGTTAAGTATTCCAGTGTATAAAATGCACATTCACTTTAACAAGGACATAGAATTATCTAAGAGTGTAGCTGAATTCAAATGAAACAATTCTTAAAAAACCTTGCATAATCCTCGGAGGATGTTTGGAGAGTCGTCAGCCCTGATGCGGAAGGGTAGTGGTGGTCTGTACGCCGTCCTTTCCCCGGGGTTTGAATAACCTCATAAAGCCCTATCTCAGAAAACCTAACTCTCTAGGTTAGATGAAAGGAAACACTAGGAAGGAGATCACCTTTCTGCACCTGCCAGAGCCCTGTCCCATGGGCCACCTTCGATCTGTCGGTGCCACCTGGAGGGCTTTCCATCAAGTGTCCTGTGCAGGAGCCTTAGCAGGGAAAACTCCTCTCTGACCCGGAGTTTATGCCACTAGCTGGGCTTAGCAACAAGGTATGGATGAAACCCGTGGTGTTGGAAGGGGAAGGGGAGTAGCTTAAATGTGGTGGGAATGTGAGCAAAACCTGCCACAGGTAGCTTTTGTAGATCCTATTTTTGTCTGCAGCTGTGCAAAGTGAAGGAAGATAACGGCATCTGCAGCCTCCCTCCCTCAACGGCCTTGCTCTGGCCAGCTCTCCAGATAGTTTTCTATCATCTTTATTTCTGTAAATATTTTTTGGGTAGCTTTGTTCTTGGTATGGAGAAAGGGAGGAGGAGACAGTTGTTCACAGCCTGTTCTCATGCAAGAAGCAGAGCCATCAACTTCTGATTGCGTCAGATGAAACCAGCAGATACCTTGCTCAAAGCAAACAGAGACTTTTCTCACTTCAAGGGCACCCGGCACTCTTTAGGCCAGTTGCAGGCTTTGGTGAGTTCACAAAGAGATTTGATGATTAATGGAGGAAAAAACTACTGAGGTCTAACAAAATAGAAGGAAACCTCCCGTATCTAGAGTTCGTCAGCCACAAATTGCTAAAGGCTGGAACAGTGTTTGGGGAAGTTTCAAATTGTATTTCCCGTGTTGACCTCCCATCATGTATGCTTTTTTCTTCTCTAGAACAAACAACAAGCACAGCTCCCACAACAGTCAAGACCACGACTTGTAAGTAGAATTTTTCAGATTTTTACCTTATATGATAATGACAGCTTCATATTTTTACCATCATATTTATTGTTGGGAAGAAATTTGTATGATGAAAAAGCTCATGTGTTTGCTTTATGCTGGGGCCGGGGGGGTGTGTGAGAACAAAGTTAGGCGGGAGCCGGGGTTTCAGGGGTGGCTCTACCCCCAGCAGCCAGCATCCTTGCTGGGAAGGAAGCGATCTTCTGTCACTTGTGCCCTTCGCTGGGGACTTGACTCACTGGGGAAAGGCTGAAGTGCGCTGATGGCTCCCAAGGTATTTGTCCTAATGTGTTCTCCATGTGTTCTTTCCTGCTTATTCTCCACAGTTCCAGTCATAGCTGATGGTAAGTCTGTCTGCCAGGGCCCTGGGCGTGGGAATGCGCCTGCCTGCTGCTGCCCAGCCGCTCCGTCCCCCAGCGTGGGAGGTCGAGAAGGGGCTGCTGGCCCTGAGCTGTGCCGTGGGGGGATGCCCCTGCGTGTCAGGGGGTGGCTGTGGCCAGGGAGGTTGTGGGAGCCTGCGCTCTCCCGTCGCTCTGCCAGGAAGCAGGGACTAAACCTGAGAGCCATCCCAGGGGTAAGGTCCTGGCCCCATGGCTTTCCTGGGGTGCACACAAGCCGGGTCTGGTTTGCAAAGACCTGCGGGCGTCCCTGGAGCACTGGCACTGCCTGCTTGTTCATGCATTGGGCAGAAAACGTCATTGCCTGAAAGCAGAGCACTGCCAGCCTGACCAAGGGTTTCGTGTCTCGAAGAGCTGCTGCTGCGGCTGACCGGTGGGCCGAACAGATGTGCAGGCAACGTGGAAGTCTTCTATTTTGGAGGCTGGGCGAAAGTGTGTGGGTACCTGTGGGACATGCAAGACGCCCAGGTTGTGTGCAGGCAGCTGGGCTGCGGCTCGCCTCTTGGTGTGATGCACTATTTCCCTTCGAGCAACTCATACCCATACCTGATGACGGCGGTGAATTGTGATGGCTCTGAAGACTACTTGTGGTATTGTGCTTTCAGCGAAGAATACTCCGTCTGTTATCACGGGGATGCTTCTGTCGTATGCTCAGGTGGGATTTTGCGTTTTGGTGGCTTTTTCCTGAAGAAAACACATCTGGAGTTTGTGTGAGGCTGGGGAAAGTCTGGCCAGCCCTTGCCTGGTGCTCCGCAGGGCAGCGGCGGGTTGTGGGTCCGTGTCCCTGACACAGGGGCCCATGTTTCAGAGGGAGCACTGTGCCTGCTCTTGCAGACTGCTCAGGAGATCTGGGATTTGGGTGACCGCTCCTGCACAGAGCAGTGGACAGAGGTTTTGAGCCATGCCACCCTCCCCATGGGTCCCTCCGTAGCTCTCCATGAGCTTGTAGCATGTGCTCCGAGGGGAACCAAAGGGTCAAAGTGCCTCACCCCCTCTGGTTTTCTCCTTCCAGACTCGGGACTAACCGTGCCTTCACCATCAGGTAACCAGCGATTTCTGCTTACAACCTTCTTCTTGGGGTGCTCTGCCTCTGGGATGCTCTGTCTCCATCAGAGCACAAGACTCAAATATGGGCTGCCTTTACAGACCCTGGGTAACGTCCCTGATGCTCAGGGAGATGCAAGATTGCTTGGAATCCTTTGGGTTTGAGCAGCCACTTCTTCTGTGGGAGAGGTTTGGCGCTGGTCTTCATGGTGCTGCAGTGGTAATGCCCTTGAGCAAGTGCTGGGGTGGTTGGTACTGCAGCCGTCTTGCTCAGTCCTGCCACATTGCGGTGCTTACTGCGGGTTTTGGGTTTCAGTGTCCAGGGGTTCCCTTTGGATGGGGGTGACTCTTAGGCAAAACACTGCTGACTCACCTGCTGCTCTCTCCCTGCAGCACCAGGTAGCTCCAGCTCGACTTCCCCCATGTTATCGACCTCAGGTAGGTCCAGAGGGGTTGAGGGGAATGACTAGCTCCTGCCTCCAGTTATGGATCACAGAATCACAGGATGGCTGAGGTTGGAAGGGACCTCTGGAGGTCATCTGGTCCTACTCCCTGCTAAAGCAGGGTCACCTAGAGCTGCTGCCCAAGACCATGTCCAGATGGCTCTTGATTGTCTCCAAGGATGAAGAGTCCACCACCTCTGTAGGCAACCTGTGCCTGTGCTCAGTTGCCCTCAGAGTGAAAAAATGTTTCCTGATGTTCAGAGGGAACCTCCTGTGTTTCAGTTTCTACCTATGGCCACTTGTCCCATCACTGGGCACCACTGGAAAGAGCCTGGCTTTTGGAGAGGGTTGACTCCCAGCAGGTTGTTCCTCTTAGGCAAAATGCTACTCACTCACCTGCTGATTTCTCGCTGCAGCT